GTCACTTACCCTCCACCTTACCAAGCATGACATCCTTCTCCAGGAAATGGTACCTTCTGACAACATGACGAAAGCAGGTGAGATGAAGTCTGGCCATTCTCACCTCCAAGGAACATTTTAGCTGCACTTCCTCCAGAACAGATCGGTTAATTCTTTTAGCAGTTCATGGTACTTTCAGCATTCTTTACCACCACCACAGCTCAAAAACATCAATTCTTCTTCGGTCTTCCTTGTTCATTGTCCAGCTCTCACATGTGTATGAGGCAACTGAAAATATCATGGCTTGTGTCAGGTGCACCTTAGTCCTCAAGGAAACATCTTTGCTCCTCAGCACTTGAAAGTGGTCCTTTGCAGCTGACTTGCCCAGTGCTATACGTCATCTGATGTCCTGACTGCTGCTTTCATTGGCGTTGACTGTAGAACCAAGCAACGAGAAGCCTTTGACAACTTCAATCATTTCTCCATTTATCATGATGCTGCTTATAGGGCCAGTTGTGAGGATTCTTGTTTTCTTTATATTGAGATGTAATCCATACTGCACACGTATTCTTTAATATTCGTGAGTAAGGGCTTCATGCCATCCTCACTTTCAGCAAGCAAAATTGTGCCATCAGTGTATCACAGGATGTCAAGGATTCTTCCTCCAATCTTGATGCCACGTTCTTTTTCATACAGTTCAGCTTCTTGGATTATTTGCTCAGCATAGAGACTGGAAAAGTATGGTGAAAGGATACAACCCTGATGCACTCCCTTCTTGATTTTAAACCATGCAGTGAGTGTCCCCTTGTTCTGTTTGAACAACAGCCTCCTGGTCTATGTACAAGTTCCTCATGAATACAATTAAGTGTTATGGAATTCCTATTCTTCTCAATGTTATCCATAATTTGTTATGATCCACACAATCAAATTCTTTTGTATAGTCAATAAAACACAAGTAAACATCTTTCTGGTATTATTTGCTTCGAGCCAAGATCCATCTGACATCAGCAATGATATCCCTTGTTCCACATCCTCTTCTGAATCCAGCTTGCACCTGAGGAAGTTCTCTGTCTGCAACCATTTTTGAATTATCTTCAGTGAGATTTTACTTGCATGCAATATTAATGATATTGTTCTATAATTTCCATATTTCTGTTAGCTATAGCATTGCTGAAACTTTTTATTTCTTTATTGTCATCCTATCTAGATGTTCTATCCATTATTGAAAGTAGTGTATTGAAATCACTACCTATTATTGTGTAACTATGTTTGCATTTTTTCCCTTTCAATTCTGTCAATGTGTGGCTCATTTATTTTGGGGCTCTGATGTTAGATAGGGAGCTCTGGTGGCATAGTGCCTAAGGCATTTGACTGCTAACAAGAGGCTGGAGGTTCAACCTACCAGCCACTCCTCAGAATGAAGACTGAGCAATCTACTTCTGTAGAGATACTGCCTTGGAAACCCAAGGAGGGGTTGCTGTGAGTCAGATCTGACTCGACAGCAGTGAGTTTGGTTTGGTTTGAATGTTGGGTACAATATTTATATTGTTACATATTCTGGATAACTGACCTTTTATGATTATAAAATTTCCTTAAATCATTGTAAAATGACTTAACGTCTATTTTGTCTAACATTAACATAGGTAACCTAGTACTCATTTGAATACTACTGACATGAAATACTTTTTCCATCCTTTCACTTTCAATCTATCTGTGTCTCTGGATCAAAAGTGAGTCTCTTGTAGAGAGCATATAGTTGGATCATGCTTTCATATCCATTCCCCAAACAGCAGATTTTTGAGGGTGGCTGAAGCTGGCTAATGAGTGCAAGAGAGTCTATAACACTATTCTGTTTATTTTGTATATATTTAAAATTCTCTGTAATATAAAAGAAAGTGTTTAAATGTTTCAAAAAACTACTTAATGAGCAAAAGAGATATTCACACCATAATGTTGTTCTTAAAAAAGGATTCAAACTATATTCCTAGTATGACTGTAAGTATGTAAAGTACATATGCATACATCTGTGTACATGTTGTTGTTGTTGTTATGTGCCGTCAAGTAGGACCCGACTCATAGCAACCCCTCCTTGGGTTTCCGAGGTGGTATCACTATAGAAGTAGATTGCCCAAACTTCCTTCTGAGGAGTGGTTGGTGGGTTTGAACTACCAGCCTTCTGGTTAGCAGTCAAGTGCTTTAGGCACTATGCTACCAGAACTCCCATTTGTATACATATGTATATTCATATAGGAGCTCTGGTAGCATAGTGCCTGTGGTGGTTAAGTTTGTGTGTCAACTTGGCAGGGCCTGGTTGAGTGGCTGAGCAGCTGAATGTAGTTATTCCCCATGGTAAGATTGGTAATTACCTCCATGGTGGAATGTATTGGAGCAGCTGAGTAGCAGCTTTAGAGATGTGGTCTGCTTCCCATATATAAGAAGCAGGTTTGGGAATGGTCACTGGGTTACAGCACACTTGAACCCTGCATGTAGCCGAGTCGTCATTCAGCAGTCTGCCATGCTCTGCCGATCTTGGGACGTTCAACAAACTTGAATTAATGGTCTGCCATGTGGTTTGGTAATATTAGGACTATGCTTTATTACTTGTCGACCTTGGGTTTGTCAGCTTCAGCAGCTAGCAGGTGAGTGAAGAAAAGCCTCCAGCTTCAGTGGGCCGGGAGCAGGAGGCAGAGCTGAAGCCCAAGGTTGAGGGGCCTTTCACCCAGCCCCTAGAGCCTGGTACTTTGAACTCAGACTTAAAGCCTCTACAACTGCAAGAGAGTAAACTTCTGTTTCTTCAAGCCATCCCATTTGTGGTATATTCTTGTCAGAGCATCACTAGGTAATTGAAACAGTGCCTAAGGCATCTGACTGCTAACCAGAAGGCTGGCAGTTCAAACTCATCAGCCACTCCTTGGAAGGACAGTTGGACAACCTACTTCCATAGTGACATAGCCTCAGAAACCCAAGGAGGGGGTCACTGTGAATCAGGTTTGACTGGACGGCAGTGAGTTTGAGTTAGTATATACATGTACATAGTTGAAAAAAACAGATCAAAACGTTAAAACTAGTTATTGAAGAGTCACAGGATTACAAGTAATTGTAACCTTTTCCCTTTTAATCCCTTTTAGAATTTTTATTCACAGTAAGTCAGGACTCTCTGAAAATAGCTTGCTGACACTTTTTAAATATCAAATCAATTCATCAATAGTTACGCTGAGGATTTCTAAATAATCAAGGTCCAAAGTGGCTTAGTGCTTAGGCATTTGACTGCTAACCAGAAGACTGGTGGTTCACACCCACCAGCCACTCCTCAGAAGGAAAACTGGGCAATTTACTTCCGTAATGATACAGCCTCGTAAACCCAAGGAGGGGTCACTATGAGTCAGATCCAACTCGACAGCAATGGGGGTTTTTTAAACAACAGTTGAAGGTAAAGGAATCAGGATATGCATATTGCATTTGACAAAAAAATAATAAAATACAAGGTATGAAATTCAGGTTTTAAAAGAAAACCTAGATATCTTCTGTATATATATACCTCTAGATCAGCACTATCTAATAGTACTTAATATAAAATTTAAAAACAAAACAAAAAAAACCCCAATGTTGTCCAAAACAGTAGCCAGTAACTACATAGCTATCGCACATTCAGATTATGACTTGAAATTACATTTTTAGTTAATTTTAATTTTATTTTTGTTAAATTTTAATAGCCACATGTGGCTAGTGGCTACCATACTGAATAGCACAGCTTTACAGAGAAAGAAAACAAAACAGATTCATGATTCCTTTCCATTTCTTCCTGCTTCCAGTCACTTAGTAATTTATTGATATTCTATGTCTTCTCACCTCTCTTTAGCTCTCTACTCAAACATAACAAAAACAAAAAATCATATCTAAAGTCTCCTATACTTTACTTCAAGAATCAGAACAAATGAAGATTATCACTTCCTCCAAATAAGATTTTCTGAGTAAAACCATATTTCAAAACCCAATCCCAAACCCACTGCTGCCAAGTCAATTCCAACTCATAGTGATCCTAAAAGAAAAGAGAAGAATTGTCTCATAGGCTTTCCATGGCAATAATCTTTATGGAAGCAGACTGCCTTATCTTTCTCCTGTGAAGCAGCTGGTAGGTCTGAACTACCAACCTTTCTGTTAGCAGCTTTGTGCTTTAAGTACTATGTTACCAGGGCTCTTCAAAACCACATTATCTATAAAGAGATACCTGAAACCCACTTTAGGTTCCCCCCCCACCTTTCCTATCTAATTCTTCAGGGGCAATCTGAATTTCTGAGTTGTGCTTTTTAGAGCTACTTTGTCACTGTCCATCTTTTCTTAATCTTTGTTCTTCCTCTTGTGGAAAAGCAAAAGGGAATGGAAAAGAAATTGAATACAAATTTACCAACAGCATGATTCCCTAACAGTTACTCTGAAGAGTACACACACATTCATAATAAATAATTCTGACACTTAAAACTATCAGAGTCACTGAAATTTTGTTTTACTTACTCTGGCATAAAGCAAGTTTTCCTTTTTGGTGGTGCTCCAGGAAACTAAGTGTGTATTTAGGGCTCACAAATAAAAAACACAATTTGTTACTGATTTCCCTTTGTATTTTATAAACTGGTTTCTAATATATATGCTTTAACTGTTTCATTCCTAAATTTTAATACTATAACACACCTCAAAACATTTTTCAAGACTGGCAAAGTAACAAAACTGACATGATAAATACAAACTACTTGAACAGACTTTTCACAAGATTTCAGAATATCTTCTTAGTTTTGACAATGCCCAAATTAAAGGATCCAAGATTCTTTTTCTGTTTTCTGACTCAAAATAATTCATTTGAATAAAATAGAAACATTACCATTTTGAAACAGTGTGACTTTATTATACTTCTCTAAAAACCCATAAGAAGATCCAGAATTAAGATCAACCAGATCTTTTATTTCTATGCAGATAAGATTATCAATATTTTTCAGCTCATTTACTTTCTTTTAAATGATCTACAATACCTTGTATGTTCTTCAAAGTGTTGTGCTCTTAGCTGTGATGCAACAAACAACGATGATGCTATTGCCAATAATTGGTGTCTCTCTCTCTCTGTTAACTTGTGGCCTGAGGGAAACATACAATTGATCAATTAACTTAAAAACCACATATAATGTTAACATCTATGAGTCTATCTAATAAAATTACCAGTCACTCAAACAAATTGTTTGGCAAGTTTCTATATATAAGCACATATGCTGTACTAAGCACTGGGTTGTGAAAAGGGAGAGGGTATGGGAGGGCACAAGATTATTCAAATAAAGCAAAAACCTTGTTTACATTAACTTTATAGTCTAATTTGTGAGACAAGATCATAAATAAGCATACAGAACAAAACAATTAACGAATAATAAAACCATGCACACAGAGATCTCTAGGAAAATTTTAAGTCTCTTCACTTTTCCTCACATCTACCTCTCCTTATCAGTAGCCACCCTCAATTTTACTTCAAAGGATTAGGATAAAAGGCAAGAAGCTCCAACCTCTGAAGAGTGTTACTAAGTCAAGGTCATTGCTTAGGCCATGTTTTCTAGTGTAAAGTATTCAAAAAAAATTAAGGAGTGATTCTTTTCCTTCTATGCAATCAGGATTTGTATCTCTCCCTCTGTCATCACCCTCACTCTCTTTAAATGCCTTCTCTTTCTAGCTGTCCCTGGGTTCAGTGGTGGAGCCTGACAAGGCCCAGGGAAGATCACTTAATCTAACCAAGTGCTTTACAGCAGGGAACTCCATTCCATTTGCATCATTCCAATTCCTTTGCCCATCTGCACAGACTGATTTGGTATTTGGTCTGGGCTGAGGCTCAATAATTTGCATTTCTAACAAGGTGTAGCAAGGATCGTGAGGCTGGCACAGGACTGGACAGTGTTTCGTTCTGCTGTGCATAGGGTCGCTATGAGTTGGAGACCATTCAACAGCACCTAACAACAACAACAACAACACAAGATCCAGAATGATGTTGATGCAGCCAGTCTGTAACACTGTTTTAGGCTCACGTTTATCAAACTGTTTTACAAACCATTTTGTAGTTCATGAACTCAATTTATAGGGTTGTGGCCAGCAAGACAAATATCAGCACACTCTGCATACAGTAGTATTTTTCATGAACATTTTATCCATTTAGCAGCATCAATAAGCTTTGTGATACCAAAAAAAAAAAAAAAACAAACCTCACTGTCCTCAAGTTGCTTCGTCTCATAGTAACCCCTCCTTGGGTTCCCAAGGCACTACCTCTACAGAAGTAGGTTGCCCAATCTGCCTTCTGAGGAGTGGCTGGTGGGTTTGAACCACCAGCCTTCTGGTTAGCAGTCAGATGCTTTAGGAACTAAGCCAGCAGAGCTGCTAAGCTTTGTAATATACCACTATAATTCTCATGCTATTACCCGTCTTGGAATCCCTGAATGATGCAAATGGTTAGCACACTCAGCTGCTAACTAAAGGGTTAGAGATTATAGTCAACCCAAGGTGCCTTGATGCAAAGCCCTGGTAATCTTCAAAAAAAAATCAGTCACTAAAAACTTACAGAGTACAATTCTACTCTGATACATACAGGGTGGCCATAAGTGGGAATCAATTCAATGCATAACTAACCGGTTTGGTATGGTTTTGTTTTATTATCCACATTAATTTGCATGACCCAGTTTTAAAGAAATTTGATCCAATTTACCTAAAAGGTGTGAGATCTGGCATCTATTTTTAATAGTCATGTAGTGATTCCCTTTAAATTTGGTGTTGTATTAAACAATGCTGATAGATTTCCTGAGGTATATTCTCTCTTTGGGAAGTGGATTTGTTGACTGTTGGCTTCATTTAAAGGGTAATCAGATTGGATCATTGTGTACGGGAACCTTTAGTTAATGTCTCAAGTGCTGGTTAGATTTCTCAGAAAGGATATTCTGCTATTATGCCTGAGAATACATGTCTGCCTGCCAGGCATTTCCTAAGGGACTGAGAGCTGATAATTACTGTGACTTTCAAAGGGTTCTGCAGTGATACAGAGCTACATCACAGTTTTTCCCATTGTCAGCTTACGATTCAGCTTTCTTCAGTTACTAAATCAATTAAAATTCATCTTTCATCTTTTCATTTTACAAAATGCTACTCTTCCTCTTTTTCACTGTGGGTTTGTACCTTTAAAAACAAATACACAAACAAACTCATTTGTCATGGGTTTTGAGCTGAAAAGACAATGTGTATATTTAAGCTGTCATGTTTATCTAGAAGTTGTTTAAAGTACTTTCTTCAATAATCTCCAAAAGAAATGGGTATATGGTTACATGTTTTCTGAATCTCTATTTAAAAATATCTATTTTACATATTGACAAATGAAGGCTATTTTAGTTGGTTATAATATTCTTGGGCCAGGTTCTTTTCTATTCTGTAGTCTGAAAATTATCTGGTTCTACATTATTTGCATAAGATTTAGTTATTATTTTTTAGGTTTAAAAAACTTTTCTTGATATGCCTAGAGGAGTTACTTTGTTTAATTAATTGTCTGAAACAGAATGAGCTCTGGTGGTGCAATGGTTAAGGTCTTTGGCTGGTCACTAAAAGGTCTGCAGTTTGAAACCATAAGCTGCTCTGCTCGAGAAAGATGAGGCAATCTGTTTCCTTAAAGATTTACAGTCTGGAAACTCTATGGGGCAGTTCCACTCTGTCCGACAGGGTCACTATGAGTCAGAATCAACTTGATGGCAGTGGTTTTGGTCTGAAATTCTGTGAGTCTTTTCAATACCTTAAATCTTTCTTAACAACACTGAAAAAATATTTCCCTTATTACTTCTTTTAAAGTTATCTTTCCTTTGTCCATTTTTCTTTGCATGAAACTTCTATTACTTTTTTCTGGCAGTCCAAAGTACTTTCAGTATTCTTTGCCAACACCACAGCTCAAAGGCATCAACTCTTCTTCCATCTTCCTTATTCACTGTCCAGCTTTCACATGCATATGAGGTGATTGATAATACCATGGCTTGGGTTGTGCGCACCTTAGTCTTCAAAGAGACATCCTTGCTCTTTAGCACTTGAAAGAGGTCTTTTGCAGCAGATTTGCCCAGTGCAATATGTCGTCTGATGTCCTGACTGCTGCTTCCATGGGTGTTGATTATGGATCAAAGTAATATGAAATCTTTGACAACTTCAATCTTTTCTCCATTTATCGTGATGCTGCTTATTGGTCTGGTTGTGAGGATGTTCATTTTCCTTATGTTGAGATGTAATCCATACTGTAGAGTAATAGGTGAGCCCAAATATCATATTATAACATTTAACTGTATGAAATACTTAACTTAAATTCAATGTGAAAAGAGAAATATGAACAATGGCATACTTATTTTGTTGAATCAAGTTTATATAAGGAATCTATAACAAATCAGAAGAGAAAAATAATTCTGATAATTTCTTTTGATGGGACTGGGGGCTATAGTTAGCAAGAAAGAAAAATAAGTCCAATCTTTCACTTATTGGACAATTGAAACTACAGTTTTCTTAATTTTCCCTTTATTTCAGAATCAAAATATCTTCTTCCTCATTTTCCATTCATTTATCAGGATCAAAGGATAATAGCTTTTTAACATTAGAATTTATCAAGTTGACAAGAACAAATTCTTGTGTATCCTATTTTTAAATTTTAGACCCAATTATCTCAAAGTTCAAATCTAAGAATCGTTAGTAAAAGTATTCTAGTCTACAAATAAATTAGAATTTGAGATAATAAAAATATGTATCAGAAAAATTTAATGCAGCCATAAACAGAGGCACTTGCCTATTAATAGTGCCTAGGATAGCTGGACAGATGGGAAGCAGATGGGTAATCCCAAAGGGGCAAAATGACCTGGCCTCAAACATACGGAGAAGATCCTGGATTAACTTCAGTTGCCACTTCCTGCTGTCTCTTTCAGGCACATATATCAAGCAGTAAAAGATGATACAGTTTAATATATTTAGGACCTGCTCTGGGGAAAAAGTGGGGAAGTAGAAAAAGAGTAATCTGAAGAAAAAGAACAGGGGATAGTAGCCATTCTGAGAAGAAAGAACTGGTGTGAAAATAGCATGAGGGAATAAAATAAGAAGTAGACATTAAGAATGGCAAATATAGGTATATGCATTTAAAGTCCTTATAGGCACTATAACAACATATAGCATACTTTGATTGAAAATTTTTAAGAGTTATGAATTTGAATCCTGGCCCAGTTGAAAGATTACTGAAATAGGAACTGAAAACCCTAGGTTTAATTCTTGTCTTTATTATTTTACTGGATATTTGCCCTTATTAATTCTTCTGGACTTTTTATTCCTCACATGTAAAATGAAGATCCTTCTAACAATTTATGACAACTAAAAAAAAAAAATCACATTTCTATCTGGTATAAGCATAAGAAATAAAAAGTACAATATCCATGCTGATAATTGCCTACCAAAAAAGAAATAGAACATATTAATATGTTTTTAATATGTTGTTATGTGCCGTTGAGTCAGACCTGACTCATAGCAACCCATCCTTGGGTTTCCGAGGCAATATCACTATGGAAGTAGGTTGCCCAACCTTCTTTCCGAGGAATGGCTGGTGGGTTTGAACCGCCAGCCTTCTGGTTAGCAGTCAAGTGCCTTAGCCACTATGCTACCAGAGCTCCTAAAGTTGACCTTAGTCTCTTATGATGATGTGAGTTATATAAAAACATTTTAAATGGATATAGAAAACATTTGAAATTGGCAAGGAAATATATAACCTTTCCATCTCCCCAAGTTCATTAGTGTAGAAATGTATAGAGAGGCTTCTGGCTTTCATTTGAATAACATTTCTACTAAGCCTCATGTAAAACCTGTCAGTTTCTTTAACATCACATTTTGACCATGTCTTCAATACTCTATTTTTCACTTGATAACCAATTTTCCCACTACTTGTACACATTCATTGATAACTTTGCCTTTTTTAATAAAATAGTACATATGTATTCATAAAATGGAGTGCCTGGGTGCACAGATGGTTAAGTTCTGGCCACTAATCAAAAGGCTGGTGGTTCTAACCCACCAAAGGCACTTTGGAGGGCAGGCCTGGAATACACACTGCTGAAAGGTCACAGCCTTGAAAATCCTATGAAGCCGTTACATGCTGCATACATGGGCCACCATGAGTTGGAATCAACTCAATGGCAACTAACACCACCATTCAGAAAACAAATCCAAATCAGATGCTAAATTTCACATTTCATTTCTCAGAATGTTATTTTCAAACTAAAAACTATCATTTTCTTAGATATTATAATTTTCATTAATAGGATTAACATCTAATTTTCTGAAAATTTCAGAGCAATTTTTCATGAAGATATAGGTTTTACCATAAAAGAAGAGTTCCTGCATATAATGGTATAAGTAGGGATAAAAGTCTCAAATGACTTTCAGTGACAAGAAAATCAAATAGGCTAACTTTCTGCTTATATGCATTGCTCCAAAACGATAAACTCAAAGAACACTACACATAGTTTAATTCCCTACTCAACAAAATACAAATTATTAGATTCATGATTTGTCTGTTATTGTTGTTGGGCGCTACTAAGTCGATTCTGATTCATGGAGACCCTATGTACAAGAGAACAAAACACTACCCAGTCCGGCACCATCCTCACAATCATTGCTATCTTTGTTGCAGCCACTGTGTCAATCCATCTCATAAAGGTCTTCTTTTTCACTTATTTGGGTCACTCATAAATACTCAAAATTATGAATGCCAATAGTCAATGATACTCTAAATATATTAATAAATAAAATGTCATACAGGCAAGAGACCTTAACTCATGATACAGTATAAAAATAACAATTTTAATACATTAAAGTATTTCAATACATGTTGTTGTTGTTACGTTCTTTCGAGTAGGCCCCGACTCATAGCAACCCCTCCTTGGGTTTCCCAGGCAATATCCCTACAGAAGTAGATTGTCCAACCTTCCTTCCGAGGACTGGCTGGCTGGTGGGTTTAAACCACCAGCCTCCTGGTTAGCAGTCAAGTGCCTTAGGCTCTTGTGTATGGTGTGAGTTAGTTAGTGCCAGAGCTCCCTTTCAATACATACAAACCTTTAAAGCCATCAGGATATACTTCAGAAAGAAACTTAGTGCTGATGTCTCCTTTTATAAAGCGTGAGTGGATTATCACCTCTCGAAGTAAAGAAATATTATGTGTAACACCTAAAAATAAAATGATATCAGATTAAATGGGAGAACAATGAGTCAGTAAAAAAATCAAATTCTTATAATCTGGAGAACTTTATCATCAATGTTCTATGACCTAGAAGGAGCAATGTTAAGATTACTTATCTCCTTGGCTTCAAATAACAACAAAAAACACCTGAAATTCAGGTAGTAATAAAACGCTAAATATAAACTTAAAAGCTTGCGGATTTCCCAGGCAATTCAATGGGGAAAAGAAATGCCTCTTCAGTAAATAACAGTAGAACAACTAAAAACCTATTGAGGAGGGAGGGAAAATGAGCTTCAAACCTAACTCACACCATACACAAAAATTAACTCAAAGTGGATCACAAAAATAAATGTAAATTCTAAAACTATAAAACTTCTAGATAATACATAGCACAAAAACGTCTGTGATGACAGGTAGGATACGCAATAGAACCTCATGTAGTATAAAACTCACTGCCGTCTAGTCAGACCCGACTCATAGTGACCCCTCCTTGGGTTTCCGAGGCAGTATCACTATGGAAGTAGATTGCCTGGTCTTCCTTCCAAGGAGTGGCTGGTGGGTTTGAACCGCCAGCCTTCTGGTTAGTAGTCAAATGCCTTAGGCACTACACCACCAGAGGTCCCTGAAGGAGTATACAAAAATCATAAAACATAAAAAGAAAATAGACAAATTATTGTTGTTGTTAGGTGCTGTTGAGTCAATACATACAAACCCTTAAAGCCATCAGGATATACTTCAGAAAGAAACTTAGTGCTGATGTCTCCTTTTATAAAGCGTGAGTGGATTATCACCTCTCGAAGTAAAGACTCAAAATTACCGAGTCTTTATTTCAAGAGGTGACTGAGTTATTACTCAGTCACTTTATGTACAACAGAACTAAACACCGCCCACTCCTGCGCCATCCTCACAGTTGTTACTATGGTTGACCCCATTCAGGGAGTCACTGTCAATCTGTCTCCTGAGGGTCTTCCCCTTTGTTGCTGCCTCTCTGCTTTACCCAGCATCATATCCTTCTCTAGGGACTAGTCCCTCCTGAAAACATGAACAAAGTACAAGAGTCAATGTCCAGCAATTCTTACTTCTAAGGAGAATTCTGGTTGTACTACTTCCAAGACAGATTTGCTCATTCTTCTGTCAGTCCATAGTAGTCAATATCCTTCACCAACACTACAATTTAAATGCATCAGTTCTTCTGGTGTCTTCCTTATTCACTGCCCAGCTTTCACATGCTTATGAGGCTACTGAAAATACCATTCTGAAGATTACAATGTCATGAAACAAAATGTGTATGAACTGCTGTATGGAAAATGAATTTGTGTTGTTAATTTTCACCCAAATCAAAATAAAATAAATAAATATATATATTTTTAAAATATCACACCTTGGGTCAGGGACACCTTAAGTCTTCAAAGTCACATCTTTGCTCTTTAACACTTTAAAAAGGTCTTTTGCAGCAGATTTGCCCAATGCAATACATCTTTTGACTTCCTGATTGCTGTTCCATGGGCTTTGATTGTGAATCCAAGTAAAATGAAATCACTGACAACCTCAATCTTTTCTACATTTGTCATGATGCTGTTTATTGGTCCAATCGTGAGGAATTTCATTTTCTTTAGGCTGAGGTATAATCCATACTGAAGGCTGTTGTCACTGATTTTCAACAATAAGTGCTTCAAGTCTTCTTCACTTTCAGCAAGCAAGGTTGTGTCATCCACATATCACAGGTTATTAATGAGTCTTCCTCCAAATCTGATATCACAATCTTCTTTGAATAGTCCAGCTTTTCAGATTATTTGTTCAGCATACATATTGAATAAGTATGATGATAGGATACAACCCCGACACACACCTTTCCTCATTTTAAACTTTGCAGTATCCTCTTGTTCTGTTCGAAAGACTGCCTCCCAGTCTACGTACAGGTTCCTCATGAGCACAGTTAAATGCTCTAGAATTCCCATTCTTCACACAACTAACCATAATTTATTAGGATCCAGAGTAGAATGCCATTTCATACTCAATAAAACACATGTAAACATCTTATTGATAGTCTTTGTTTTCAGCCAATATCCATCTGACATCAGCAATGATACTTCTTGTTAGACACCCCCTTGTGAATTGGGCTTGAGTTGTCTGCAGTTCCCTGCTGCAGTGCAGTGAATTGCTTAATATGGCCCTTCTAGCTATTATCTAGGAGCTCTGGTAGCATAGTGCTTAAGACACTTGACTGCTTACCAGAAGGCTGGTGGTTCAAACCCACCAGCCACTCCTCGGAAGGAAGGCTGAGCAATCTACTTCCATAGTGATACTGCCTCGGAAACCCAAGGAGGGGTCACTATGAGTTGGGTCCAGCAAAAAACAACAGCATCTCTGCCATTTTGTAAATCCTAATTTACATTTTATAAATTTACAAAATAAATCCTAATTTACACTTAAATCCTAATGTAATGTAAATTCTTGTGTAAATCCAAATTTACATTTTGTAAATCCTAATCTTAATTAATGTATTGTAAATCCTAATTCTTAAGCCTGTTTAGGGTGGGATGCATCTTAAGTCCCACCTTGCTGGAGGCTTTGACTCAAGTCACCATCCATTTCATGATGTATTGTAAATCCTATTCTCTATGCCTGTTTAAAGGACCTCTGATGGCATGGTGCCTCAGGCATCTGACTGCTAACCAGAAGGTTGGCGGTTTAAACCCACCAGCCACCCCATGGAAGGAAGACAGGGTAATCTACTTCCGTAAAGATTTACCACCTCGAAAACCCAGTGGGGGTCGCTATGGCTGTGTCGTAATCAACTCAATGGCAGTAAGTTTGTTTGTTTGAGTTATGCCTGATTAGAGTGGGATGTGTCTCAAGTCCCATCTTGCTGGAGGGTGTGGCTCAAGTCACCACCCATTTTGTGATGTATTGTAATCCTATTTTCTATGCCTGGTTAGGGTAGGATGTATCTTAAGTCCTACCTTGCTGGATGGTGTGACTCAAATTACCACCTTAGCTCCTTTGAGGGTATATATGTGAATATTCTGGGAAAGTTTATTCTCTCTTGCTCCAGTTCTCATTTGGTTCATCATCATCTCATCCCTTGACTTGAGACAGCAGCCGTCATCTGACCTGCCGATTTGGGTTTGCCAACCCTTGCAATCACGTGAGTTGGGAGATCCTCCAGACCTACCCACAGACCTAGGACTTGCCAGCCTGCCAGTCTCCTAGCCTCCACCACCACCATGTGAGCTGTTTCCTTGAGAGTCTGTGAGTTCATTGAGATGTTACAGTGAACTACAGGACCCTAGGACAAGAGGGAGACTATTGAGGGGAGGAGGAGGAGTTGATGTTAGAGATGATGGGAGTGGCATGGCAGTTTGGAAAAGCTGGACATCTGGGACATCTTTTACCTCCACCTCATAGGGACCAGCCTTGTGCTGATCTTTCTAAGAGAAATTATTCAAACACCTGTCAATATATTACTGCAACTTTTTAAAAATTATCTTCAGCAAAATTTTGCTTGCATGTGATATTAATGATATTGTTCAATAATTTCTGTATTCTGTTAGATTACCTTTCTTTGAAAGGAACACAAATAATGGATCTCTTCTAGTAGGTTGGCCAGGTAGCTGTCTCCCAAATTTCTTGGCATAGATGAGTGAGCACTTGCAACACTGCATCCATTTCATGAAATATCTCAATGAGTATTCTGTGAATTCCTGGAGCCTTGTTTTTTCCCAATTCCTTCAGTGCAACTTGGACTTCTTCCTTCAGTACCATTGCTTCTTGATTACATGCTACCTCCTGAAATGGCTGAATGCCAACCTATTCTTTTTGGTACAGTGACTCTGTGCATTCCTTCTACCTTCTTTTGATTCTTCTTGCAGCAGTCAATATTTTTACCCACAGAATCTTTCAATATCATAACTCGAGGCTTGAATTTTTTCTTTTCTTCAGTACTTTCAGCTTAAAAAATGCTGAGTGTGTGCTTCCTTTTTGATTTTCTAATTATTTCATATTTTATTTTTTTGTCTCAGGCTGGGTTCTCTAGAGAAGCAAAATCAGTGAAACTTACAGAGAGAGAAAAAAGAAAATTTATCTCGAGGAAATGGCTCATACAGTTGTAGAGGTTGGCAAGTCCCAAGTCCTTGGGTCAAACGTCAAGCTGGAGGCCTGTCCTGACTTATGTAGCTGCAGGGGCTGACGAACCCAGTATCAACAGGTGATATAGCAGGCTGCTGACTTTGGAGGCTAACAAATCCAAGATTGGCAGGTTGTTGGTTCACAGGCTGGAAGGGCAACAATCCCAAGATCGGCAGGCTAGGCAGTAGGCCACTGGTTCAAGTGCAGATGATGATGACCCAGAGGCAGGATGTCAAGCAAAAAGCCAGAGAGCTTTGCCAGAGCTTACCCACATACACTGCAAGCAGGCCACACCCTTAAGGAAACTCCCTTTCAATTGACTGACTGCTCACAGCAGCTCTCATCATGGAAGTGATCACATTATATCAGGTCTCATCATGGGGAATGACTATATCATAAATGCTAAACAACTCAGAAACATGCCTCAGTCAAGTTGATCCACACCTTAACTATCACAATTAAAGGTACTTTACTTTGTATTCTCAAGCTACCCTTTGAAATCTTCTGTTCAAATCTTTTACTTCATCATTTTCCCCTTCGCTTTGGCTGCTTTCAATTCAAGAGCAAGTTTCAGAGTCTCTTCTGACATTCATTTTGATCTTTTCTTTCTTTCGTATCTTTGTAATGACCTTTTGATTTCTTCACATATGATGTTCTTGAGGTCACCTCACAACTCATCTGGTCTTCAGTCACTGGTGTTCTATGTGTCAAATCTATTCTTTTTTTGGGGGTGGGTGGGGAGCAAGGACTGGTTTATTTTCACAGCTGAGCCAAGGACGAGGTCTACAGCCTCGGTAGCAGCACAGGCAGCCCCTCCCCGGCCCAGCCTCCTTTTCTCAGCATGGTAGCTGCAGATGGG